TAATTAAATAAGCTATTGTTTTTCAGTAGTAAAAGTATGTCAATTTATTTTCATTATCATAGTTTTTAGAAAAAATATATCATAAGTCAAAATAAAATGTAAACATTTTTCGTCCTTTCTAAAATTATGGTCTCTCTCGCTGTGACGTTAATTCCCAGTCTTCGAGGCTTTCGAGGCCTGCGAGACCTCGATGCGTAGCTTTTGACGTCACCACGCCTTTATAGAAAAGGACGAAAAATGTTCATATTTTAGAGTTGTATCATTGTATAAGTAATTGTATATCTAAGTTAATATTGACAAAAAAAAAACGGAAAAACTCTACATCAATTTTTGAAACATACTGAATGTAAATAAATAATAAAAAACAAATGTGAGACAACCTTGTTCATATTTGGAATTTGATTATTTGAATATCTGCTTTCCCCTCTTAATGAATCGCCTCCCTAAACCAACGTGAAATATTCGCGGCGAATAAATTTAATATCGCGATATCTTCGCAGCGGTGCAGGCATGGCTATATACTTTCATAGGTAACGTTTTGACGCGAATATTTCGCTGCAACTGCGGTGCGGACATTTCGTGTAGGTTACTTCTGATTCTGAAGCTGTAGATCTGCCGCCGTGTATAGTGTATACAATTTCATGCTCATCGAGAAGCATATTTTAAACGGAGCGAATATACCCCCCGGCGACGACACATGCGACCCTTTTATAGAATGATACATTAAATCCCCAACCATCTAGAATGGTCAATTACAAAATTTTTTGGTAGGCCTAATATTTTATTTTTCAATAAATATAAATAAATTTGTCAAAATTACATTTTTTTTATTTTTTCGCATATAGGTACCTCTTATATTTCCAGAACTAATTTAGATAGAGACATCATCATGCATTCATTTAAGAACATTAAAAGAAAACTTACAGCGTAATTTACAGCGATAAAATGAGNAATATGTAATTTATTTATTGTATGCATAGAATATAGAAAAAGATATACAAATAATTATTTATTTATGTTTATAAAACGTGTTTATTATATTTTCATTATCATCGTATTATTAAAGTTTTTCACTTTTTTATATCATTGCTGTTTTCAGTTATAATATCAGCATTTGAATAAGTACCGTTTTCCATTATTTTCAAATCAGTGTTTAACTAATTGTAAGTATTAAGATTAACAGTATATGATGACTTACGGTTGGTTATGGTTGGTTAATTTGATTTTTTAAATTTGCTGGCAATTTCATAGCCATCCTCGCAAGAAATTGGATCATTTTATTTATCACAAAAACAGTAAAAACAGAAAAGTTAAAAGGTAGGTATATGCAGATGTAATATGGATAGATATAGAGTAAATTTTTACAACAGATTTTGATTAAATATACAGGGTGTCTAATTTAGAAGAACCAAGTTTTGGCGGTTCGGTCAATCAAATGCGACAATAAATATGAAATTGAAATAGGTCGAAGACCATTAGACCATTAGAGATGAATATAGGGAAGCTTTATAAAATTCCCCTAAAATTACGCGTAGAATCCAAATATGCAAAAATATATAGGATGTTCCATTTATAATAAGCAAATAGGTGGCGACTACCGGTATAACCGGAAGTACTACAACAATGNTAATTTTAAAAATCATTTAAGTTTAAATTTTTTTATTAAACTGCTCAATTTTGATAATGAAATTTGTAAAAATTTTTAAGAATCTTTGAAGTTGAAAATTTTGTATTAAACTTTTAAATAAAATATTTAACTTTCAAAGTATTCCTACCTATGGTATAATGATATTAGGACACCCTGTATATGTATATTTATTTACTCGCCACAATTTTCTATCCATTTTTTAATTCGTTCTTCACCACCATATTTTTCCGATGGAAATCGATGTAATATTATATTGGGAAGTTTTGCTTTAGATTTTCCACATTTATAATATTGACATAATATATTTCCTGCCATTATTAATTTATTTTAAATATGTATACATTAAACAGAACACCGATTCAACACCAGTTTTTTATGTATTACATAGCGGCGATTTTTTATTCCAATCTTACCTAGTGCCATCTACACACGAATTACTATACCCCTTGTATAATAACAGTATAGTAGAGACCGCCTAGACCTACAGTTAGTTCTTTAGCACAAATTTCAGAAATATTAATAAGGATACAACCGATAGATGTCCACACTATCTTTCGTATCATTCTACTGGTTAACNTTATAAATATCAAATAAATAAATTACATATTAAATAAAAATTTCAAGGTTTTAAACATTATTACGAATTATTAAAACTAATAACTATTAACAATCGACTATGTATATCTACCACCGATATTATTATTTACATGAATATACAGCAACAACGAAATGTGTGAAATTTTAAGTAGTCGGAATAGGCTGATAGGGCTTTATAATATTTTAATGAAATCTTGATAATTGAATTCCTCTCAAAATCGGAGCCGTAGAAGCCGAGATATTGAACGCCGAAGAGGGCACGCTCTTTTTGAACGCACAATTTCAATTTCTATCATTCATCCCCTCCCCCCGGTTTTGCGGCTCAAATGGTCGGCTTGGCGATATTCATCGAATTTTCATATAAAAAGCACACGTGCGATAATATTTATAAAAGCACATACGAAACGTTCTTAAAAAACCTACCAAATTCATATTTTGTTGTTGTTACATTATGCATAGTTTTGCAGCTAACGCTTGTTGACTTTGACATTCGATATCTCGGAACTTATACGACCGATTTGAGCGTTCTTTTTTTCAAGTTAAGCGTCTTTCCGAGAACTATTTTTTAGTACTTTGGTATATATTCCAACCCGCAAAACGGCTTCACGAAAGTATTTGTTTATAAAGTTAAAATTTTTCGAATTTTTAAAATCGCTCCAAAAATTATTAAAAAAAAGAAAATTAATATTATAACGATTCTATATGATAGTTAAAGAGTCCAAGTATGTGTAAAAAAATCAGCGCCAATTAAAATGCCTAACTTTAACCCCAGCACTGACGCAAAAAAATAACGACATTTCGCGCTGAAATTTAGTAACAAATTGTCTCATACCAAAACTATCAGACCGATTTCGATCGGGTTTTGGAATTTCGTTTTGTAATCCTTTAAAGTACTTACATGTACATTTATAGTAGAATTGGACAATTTCTTACCTATCAGTTGAACGCTTCAAAATTACCTCGATTTTCATCACTTTCTTACGCTGTTTTGGCTTTCTAGCAACAAAAATATTGAATACGCAGGTCTCAAAACAATTGTGTCTTATAGCAAATTTCATAACAAACAATTTCAGCAGTAATAGTTTTTTCTGTAAACTGCATATTTAAGAAGTTATATTGGAAAATGTTAG